TAGCTATGAATTCTTCCACCGTCATGAGGCTCCGACTTAAAGTTATCGGTAACATACATAGATAGATACGTATGCATATATAAATATATAGATATATATGTATATGTATATATATATTTCTAAAAGAGAAAGCGAAAGCTATATGTGATTCCCTTCTGAAACCTTTCAAAAATGTGAAAAGAAGTAGAAAGTGAAGCGTAATGACACACTCTTTTGGACATTTTTCATTTTTATATATGAATGTGATGATATATATATATATATATAAACATAAAGAAGAATTTAAGGATAAGAAGGAAGTAATGACTAGCTACAGCACGAGGAACAAGGTGGTTTGCAGTTTGCAGAAACTCATTGGTATATTTGTGGTATAAAAAACAAGAAAGGTGAAATTGTACAAGCATTTGAAAACAATAAAATAATAAGAATTATAGGAGGGAATGGTATAGTAATGAAAATAGTGATGATTTTGATGCAGTAGGATACATTTACTTTGGTTTCTCCCTCTCCATGTGTCAGAAGTGACAGCAGCCTTTTCTTGGGTTTTTCTTTTCTTTTCTTTCTCTTTGATTTACAATCTTCCACCCTTTGTTCTTTCTTTCCAGCTTGTCCATTGCACACACACTGTTATACTGTTATGGTTCCTTTGTGAGAGTCACCAAAGTTTCATAAATAGGCCTCCATAGGAAAAAGAAACAAAAAAGAGAGCAAACTATGGATATTATTTCTTTGGCCTTTTTTTTGTTGAAAGGAAACTTGAGAGAGGCTTCAAGCTTTCATGATGATGATGACTATAATGCTGTCTATATGGTTTTTGTTTTTTCTCTACATTTCTCTCTCTCTCTCTCTCTCTCTCTCTCTCTCTTCACTTTTTTCTTTGTTGGGTTCACCCTCTTCTACCCATGATGATCCGGGTTGTCAGGGTCTGGCCAATAAGAAGAGTACTTCAACCATTCAGCTTCTTGTGGGTTTGTCATGGATGACTCCTGCAAGTAGGGTTAGGGTTTGTAATCAAAATCTTAAGTAATAACAAGGAAAAATCATTATATACTTCAAGAATATTATGACTCTATTTAATCTCCACATTTAATTGAATTTACATGTCATAAACTAAGAAAAGATAATTATGGAAAATGGAAATTCAATAGTTCATCAGGAATAGTCTTTTTCCACATCATGGTCAAAGTGTCAAACGTCAATGGGCGTCTTGCCAAACACGGCCCATTGAAAAAAGAAAATAAAATTAAGTTGCTTTCACTTTACCCAGTCTTTATTAATAGCTTGTTTATGACAATAAAGAAAAAAAAAAGAACAAAAGATCAAACTTTTAAACATTAGAAGTAGTCTAATGAGAGGAACGAATTATGTTGGTGGTTTCGATCTCTTGTACAATTCAAAAACAAAATAAAGAATGTTTTTTTCCTTTAAAGGCTTCGATTGATGTCCCACTTTTTGTTTTACTGTTGTTCTTTCATTCAGTGTATAATAGGAAGAAAAACGTAACCTCAAAGTAAAATTAAGTAAAAAATGTTTTTTTATTTTATAATTTTTCTCTATGAATTATGTGCCCTCCTTTTCCTTTTCTATTGGCATTATGACACACAAAGTTCATATAATTCTGAGTCAAAAAGTTCTTTCTTACCTCTTTGATTTCAGTTGAAGTGCAACCCATGATGAGTTCCTCCAAACCAGACGCAGACCTTCCTCCAAGCTTATGATGATGTTGTTGCTGTTGTTGCTGCAAAGTGTACAAATACCATAGATGCATTTTCCAAGGTCAACAATCAAATTCAAAGCACACATCTTAATCATCGTGTTCAACATTATTTAAAAAGTGAAAAGACAGTTTCATGCTTCTCATTTTTCAAGCACTCACAAAAGCTTTTCCTACTCATTCACTCCGACTCATGCACAATACCATGCAGACTCACTCATCTTTTTTTTCTTTCTTTCACTGACTAGCTTATATTTTTTCCCTTTTTTTACAATTTATTGTTATCATTATAAATCAAAAATGGTTATAAACATTTTTATATTAAACTTTTAGGGGGCATATGAAAGTAATTTATGACCATTTAAGCTGTTTAAACTTATTTTAACAGGTCAAGTTCATGATATAAACTGTTATGTTTACTCAGTGCAGTCTTTCTCTTTTCCAATGGTCCAATGCTATTTGGTAACAGCTACAGTAGTTCTCAATTATGAAAATCAAAAGGGAAGAAAACTATGATCATGTATATATATTATAATGTTTAAGAAGAGAAAATTGAGTGGTGATTACCTGAAAATTTTCATTTTGGAGCATTATTCTAGAGACATGGTAAGAGTTGTCATCGAGAATGATGGAAGTATGGTGGAGGGGAGGTGGAGAAATAATGGTGGAGATGGGATGTGATGGCCTACTGATATGAAAAGCTGAGTTTGAAATCTGATGATGAGCATGTTGTTGTTGTTGTTGTTGTTGTTGATGATGATGAACTACATGCTGTGCTCTCTGTCGTTCATGCACTTCTTCACACGAACCTGATGCTTGCACCACTTCCCTTGCTGTTGAAACCTCTCCCATTCCAACCTGCATTTTCCACCATCATATTCAACTGTTAACTATATACATGTTATCCTATGCACAAGAATACAACGCATACTATCATTTATATATACTTTTTGAAGGTTAATCAAAGTAAAAGAAAAAGAAGAACATGTCAACCTCATGTTTCTTTTTCTTGGTATGTTAGCTGTAACTTTGTTGCATTTTTGTTACCTTCAGCGGTAGGTAAACAGGCAGTGGTTGGTTGAAACTGATTTATAATTAAGCATGGTCGTACAGATTCATGCTGTCTGTGCAAGCAACGGTGTTATATCATCAGCTACCTTAATCCTTTCATGTCTTATTTCACTTTTTGGTGCAAAAGCAAACTCTATAGTTTTACCAAAAGAATGTTGAAATTCAGTGAATTATGTTAGCTTTGGCAGCTATGCAAGTGAGACATCACGTTCAATTAATTGATTTGAAAAAAAGGTGTCCAATTAAAATCAAAACTATGCAAGTGTCCAATCAAGTGTGATGCCACATATATATACACATGTTGGCACGTTTGAATGATATATGTGTGGTGTTATATATCTCTATATATATATATATAATATCTTATATCATATATAGATAATATCTATATATATATGATTGTGTATATGTATGTGCAGTGTACCTCATCAAAGCTTTTCCTGAAAGGGATGAAGCTAAAGTGATCAGGTTTTAGATGGTGAATGTCCAAAGGGTGATGAGTGAAAGTTGTGATTGGAGGGACACCAACAACAGCAGACATTTCATCTCTGTGAGTAGCAATTTCTTTGGAAGAACAACTTCCACTTCCACTGTCCCTTCTGCTACTGTTGTTAGGTTCTCCACTTCCTTCACCAGTTGTTGCACTTCTGTCTGACCAGTTGCACTGTCTTGGCTGTGTCTGATAGAATATCTTGGACACCACAAGCTCTCCCTCTTTCTCTTCTTCATGCTGCCCCAAATGGTATTGGTGCATCACCCAGTTGGTTTTCTCTGGCTTTCTGTTCTTTCCAAAGTTGGTGTAGAGGACAAGAATTTTCTTGCAACCCTTTTGTTTTCCATTCACCATCACTGGCCTGGTCTTACCAGTCTTGTGCCACCGGGTTTCTCCACCTTGCAAGTCACATTCGTTTTGAATCTTTCTCCTCTTTCTTGTCCCAGTTGTGTAAGCCTTTGAGGGTCTATGGAAGAAGTGCCTGCTCAATCCATCTCTTGTTACTCCTGTCAGACACATATCAACCACACACCCAAAAATCAAAGTTAGGTGAACTGACAGATAAAACCCTTTTTCTTTATATCAATTATAGTACAAGTTTCTTAAAAATCCCAAAAGAGACTTTGGTGGTCTCTCTCTCTATATAGTAAAACCTAACTGGGAATTAAAAAATGACATGGAATAATGGATAAGATGGTTAGAAGATCATTCTAACACTCTTGGAAAGTGGTGAGATTTGAATTTTTTTTTATCAGTATATCTCTCACACCTGGAAGTTTCTCTGGATGGGTATAACAGATTCCGTCTTCTCCTTCAATGGTTGGAATGAACTCATCTATCAAAGGGTGTGATTTCATGTTCTTTGCCTCCACTTTGGCTTCAAGATGTTCTATCAGTTCTTGGTCTGTGGGATCAAACTTCACTCCTGCTGGCAAGCCTAGCCAGTCCTGCAGTCGCCATTGAAATTCAAGTGAAAAACCAGAATCAAAAGCTAAAGAGAAAAGAGGAACAAGAAGAATAATACAAGGGAAAGAGAAAATAAAGAGGGTCGAAGGCTTTAGTTAACAAAAAATAATAATACTGAAACTTTACCAGTGACATAAAATGAAAAAGGGAAACCCCATGAAATGAATTGCACAAGCTCTATAAGCATACAGATATGGCTATACTTTTTTGGCTGTGCATGATATGATTCTTCTTCATACACTGTCAAAGGCTTTTCAGTGAAGGAAAGAATATTATTGAGATATTTTTCCGTACCGGCTTCCCTTCAAACTTGTGTCCGCAACCGGGACACTGCTTGGATCCGCACAATTGATGCTCTTCAAGCTTGGCATCTATGAGATCAGAACTGCTTACAGAACTCAAGTTGCTGATCTTACTCATCTCGTGACGTGTGCGTGCGTGTGCTATCTCTCTTGATCAAACCAGATGCCTTCAAATATATCACTGCAACTCCCTTTTTATAGAACAGTCCACCACTTAGCATGTCCAAGTTTCTGCTCTATATTACAGGAAAATCCAAGACCCAATTCAGATCCATCAAAACTTCAAATTCTCCAAAATGATCAACAAAGAAAGCAGAAACAACGATACATAACATGGCTAATCATTTTCTTAACTTTTGAAGAGCTGCTAATTGTTTATACATGTATCAGGAAAATAAATATGTGTATTAAGAAATTAAACATGTAGATGATGATCCGGTTGAGAAAAAGTAGGCTAAAAATCTGCAAACAAAGGGAAAATTCTTGAATATGGACAAAAAATGATGATGGAAAACACTGACTCCCTAGCGTGTACGCGACTGTAACCGATCGTTGAAAAAAAAATCTGCAGAACCCAGATGAGAATATGCAGGAAAGAAGGAAAGTATTCGGTGAGGATAAGATAAAGAAGAGCGTAGAGGAGGAAAAAGAGGAAGGAGTTACAATAAGATTGAGCTATAAACCTGGTTTAACCATGGAAAACACCAGAATTCCCTATCTAGCTAGATACTTTAACTGAAGGCAGTGAGAAAAATAAGAAAGGAAAAGGTGGCTAGCTGCTGCTTCAAACACACATATAGTACCTTTAAGACTTTGCTAATTTAAGAAGTGCATGTATGTAGGCGGTTTATGAGAGAGAAAGAGAAAAAGAGAAAGAAAACCCGGTTGGTTTTTTTTCTGACTAAAGCTCAAAATCCACCCTCTCTCTTCCCTCAATCCTACTAGTATTACACCTTTCTTTCAGCCTTGACTACAAAAGCAAAAGCCACAAAACGGCCACATAGCTGTTACTAATCAAGGATCTCCTACCAACCTTACAATTTGTGTCTTATTTTATATTTGTATATATAAAATCATTAAGAAAATACACATCCCAAAGAACCACGAAAACATTTAGTTAACGAATCAGAATCAGTACATACAGATTGTTTATATAATGTAAGAAAATTATGGGGTGAAATTTTAATTTTGATTCAAAACATTTGCATTTTTCTGTGTCATGTGGTTAATCAATCAGTGTTAATCTTTGATCAAAAGTTAGCAGGCAGAACAGGTAATATGTATGGTGATT